ACATTGTTAAAATGTCTGTACCTCCCAGAGCAATCTACTGATTCAATGCCATCCCTATTAAAATACCAACATCCTATTTTCAAGACTTGGAAAAAATGATTCTGTGTTTTATATAGAACCAGAAAAAACTCTGTATAGCTAAGGCAGTTCTTAGTAATAAAAACAAAGCCCGGGGCATCACCATACCAGATTTTAGGCTGTACTACAAAGCCATAATGATCAAGACAGTATGGTACTGGTAAAAAAATAGAGACATAGACATTTGGAATTGAATAGAAAACCAGAAAATGAAACCAACAGCTTACAACCACCTAATCTTCGATAAACCAAACAAGAATGTACACTGGGGGAAAGACTCCCTATTCAATAAATGGTGCTGGGAGAATTGGATATCCACATGTAAAAGACTGAAACTGGGCCCACCCTTTCTCCACTCACAAAAATTGATTCAAGATGGATAAAGGAGATAAAGGACTTAAATTTAAGGCATGAAACAATAAAAATCCTCAAAGAAAGCATAGGAAAAACACTGGAAGATATAAGCCTGGGGAAAGACTTTCTGAAGACAACTGCCATAGCAATTGCAACAACAACAAAAACAAACAATAGGATTTAATTAAACTGAAAAGCTTCTATACAGCTAAGGAGACAAGAGCCAAAGCAAATAGACAGCCTACCCAATGGGAAAGGATATTTGCATATTTTGAATCAGAGAAAAGCTTAATAACTAGGATCTATAGAGAACTTAAATTAATCCACATGAAAAAAGCCAACAATCCCATACATCAATGGGGAAGAGAGATGAACAGAAACTTTTCCAAAGAAGATAGACGAATGGCTAGCAAACATATGAAAAAATGCTCATCATCCCTAATTATTAGAGAAATGCAAATTAAAACCACCCTGAGATATCATCTAACCCCAGCGAGAATGGCCTATATTACAAAATCTCAAAACTGTAGATGCTGGCACAGATGTGGAAAGAAAGGAACACTTTTACACTGCTGGTAGACTGCAAACTAATACAACCTTTTTGGAAGAAAGTATGGAGAAACCTCAAGAAGCTCAACCTAGACCTCTTGATTGATCCTGCAATCCCATTACTGGGCATCTATCCAGAAGGAAAAAAAAGAAAAAAACTTTTATTATGAAGACATTTGTACTAGACTGTTTATTGCAGCTCAATTTATAATCGCTAAAATGTGGAAACAGCTTAAATGCCCCTCAACCCAGGAATGGATTGGCAAGCTGTGGTATATGTATACCATGGAATACTATCCAGCTATTAAAAAAATGGAGATTTTGCAGCACTGCATTAACCTAGATGGAGGTGGAACACATTATTCTTAGTGAAGCATCACAGGAATAGAGAAGCATGAATCCTATGTACTCAACTTTGATATGAGGACAATTAAAGACAATTAATGACATGGTGGGGGTAGGGGAAGGGGAGAGCAGACAGAAAAGGAGGGAGGGGGTGAGGGAAAGGAAAAGGAAAAAAAATAAAATAGTGACTAATTCTCACATAAATTGGATTTAATTTTGACCAAAGTACATTATTTGAACAATACTTTGTAATTCAACTCGTTAATATGTTGTTTAGGATATTGTATCCTCGTTTATAAGTGAAATATGTTTGTAATTTCCCTTTATAATAATGTATTCTTTACAATTTTAATATCAGGTATATCCAGATGAAGTAGAATGATTTTGAAGTATTTCTTCTTTTTTATTGTCTATAAGATTTGGCATGATCTGTTTTTTGAAATTATCTTCTATTTTTATTTATAAAAATAAATATTCTTTTTCTTGAGATTTTGGAAAAAATAAAAAGTTAACTGATGACTCCATACTGAACCTTAGAGTTAAAGCATTCTATGATAGACATACTTTTATCTGACAATATGAATGTTACTTTTTTTGCATTATTATTATTATTGCTCAATATTTCGTTGCAGCAATCATCTGATTTCTTTGCTGAAGGTATTTATCTTCGTTTGTCCTTTTTCTTTCTTTTTTTTTTTTTTTGAGACAGGAGCCTCAAGCTGTCCCCCTGGGTAGAGTGCTATGGCATCACAGCTCACAGCAACCTCCAACTCCTGGGGTCAAGCGAGTCTCCTGCCTCAGCCTCCCAAGTAGCTGGGACCACTGGCGCCTGCCACAACGCCCAGCTATTTTTTGGTTGCAGCCATCTTTGTTGTTTGGCGGGCCCAGGCTGGATTCGAACCACCTCTTTGGGTGTACGTGGCTGGCGCCTTAGCCACTTGAGCCACAGACGCTGCGCCTCTTCGTTCGTTCTTTATGTGGTTTTTGTTTCCAGTCCTTATCTTAAACATTGTTATTGTTATTAAATTTTAAGCCTCTTTAATTTTGTGAAGGCAAAAAGTGGAAACCAAATAAACACATGTACATTTATAGAGAAAAAAAAAAAGTCTTTACAAGTGCTTGTTCCAACTGAAGTTTGATTCCCTAAAACAGACTTTAGACAACCTTTTGTTTAATGTACTGACATTGACCTGACACTTCTGAGATTTGTGGAGAACCATGCTGGTCTCCTGGAGTCTTCTCCAGGTCACACACCCCTAGTCTGGTTTCTTCACCCACTGCTAATCTTTGCCCATTATCCTGGGCACTCTTTGTGGAATTCTCTTTGGCTTACCCTGTCCTTTCAAAAATGTGGTGCTCTGCATGGAAAGCAACAAGGCAACAACAGTGAGGTTATGAAGTCTTTAAGTAGGACCCAAGTCAAGTATAGATCAAAAGTATCCTTAAAAAATTCCTGGGGAAAGTTCCAGGTAGAATGACTGAGTGAGCCCAGGACAGCTAATCTCCCACTACAAACGTGCAGATAACTTCCTTTGGTAGATAATCAGCTAGAGCAGTGGTTCTCAACCTTCCTAATGCCTCAAACCTTTAATACCGTTCCATGGGAGGCGTCTGTGGCTCAGTGAGTAGGGCGCTGGCCCCATATACCGAGGGTGGCGAGTTCAAACCCAGCCCCGGCCAAACTGCAACAAAAAACAGCCGGGCGTTGTGGTGGGCGCCTGTAGTCCCAGCTACTTGGGAGGCTGAGGCAGAAAAATCGCCTAAGCCCAGGAGTTGGAGGTTGCTGGAGCGACTCCACTGCACTCTACCTAGGGTGAAAAAGTGAGAGACTGTCTCTAAAAAAAAAAAAAATACCGTTCCTGTGGGTCGCAATCCACAGGTTGAGAACTGCTGAGCTAGAGGAAATGGGCTTGCATTTAGGGTCCATGTTGTAGGAAAAAATAATTATCTTTAAATATCAGAATCTCATTTAAAGGAGGCACTAAATTAGACTGAAGAAATAGCAGGTGAGATCTCCCTGTTCTCATGATCACAAGGCATACACTCACTGGGTGGGGATCACCCATACAGTGTATGATGCAACTTTGTGAGTACTTGAGCAGTCAGGGACAAGGGGAATGTAACTATCATATTCCTCATTTCTTGAGAATGTCTTTTACCCCCCCACTCCCAGTCAACATCCTTTTTTATTTCTCTGTGAATTTTTATTTATTTTTTCTCTGTGAATTTTTAGATTAAGTTCAACTTCAGAGGTTTTTGGAGTTCATGAATCTCTGAAATTATATCAAAGTTTGTGTATACATTGGTATGTGCACGTTTTTAAGCAGAGTATCTGGGTTTTATTACTTTTTCAGAGTAGTCTGAGACCCAAAAGGTTAAGGATAATTGTATTAACATACACTGCAAATAGGACATTGAGTCTTTGTTAAGAAAAGTCAGGCCTGTAATCTTAGCACTGGAGGTAGGAGGATCACTTGAGGCCATGAGTTTAGGTTGCAGTGATCTATGATGACACCACTGCACTGCACTCTACCTGGGGTAACAGAGTGAGACTCTGTGTCAAAAAAAAGAAAGAAAGAAAGTCATGCTTTATCTCTTTAACAAATACTATAGTCTGAAACAAAGAAATGAAGTTTAACGAATGAAGTAATCAATTATCTTCTCTACATAAAAGTGTTGGGAATATAAAGAGCAAAGCTGCCTACTCCACAGATTTTTTTTTTTTTTGGAGACAGAGTCTCCCTTTGTTGCCCCTGGTAGGGTGCCATGGTGTCATAGCTGACAGTAATCGCCAACTCTTGGGCTCATGCGATCCTCTTGCCTCAGCTTCCCAAGTAGCTGGGACTACAGGTATCCGCCACAATGCCCAGCTATTTTTAGAGGTGAGGTCTCATTCTGGCTCTGGCTGGTCTCAAACCTGTGAGCTCAGGCAATCTATCTGCCTCAGCCTCCCAAGGTGGTAAGATTACAGGCGTAAGCCACTGTGCCCAGCCTCATAGCAGATCTTAAAGGAGAAAGCTAAAAAGACTCTGGAAAATTAACACCCAATTCTCCCTTTTCAAAAAATTGAACCTTGTTCATTTTTCTCGAAAGTTTCCATTTTTCTAGAGGTGCATAACAGGCACTTAATAAAACTGGGTACAGTTTTAGGACAAGGAGTGGAAAAAAGAATTATAGACTTAACAGAACATGGTAACGACTTGGTATAAACTGAAATCATCTCACAGATAAGACCAGGATATACTGCTTCTGCAATTTGATGAAGAGTGGCATCAAGATTGCTAATTCCGGAGTAGCCAGGAAGAGAAGGTGCCCAGAAAAGTTTCTGGATGCCTGGAATACTACCAGGAGGTGGAATACCATCCTTCACATCTTGTCCCCAGAGTGGAGGTGACAATGGTTTTGGATTGGCAAGTTCCCAGAAGATAAGAAAATGATTTCATTAGAGCAAAGAGTTCTTTACACCCTAAACCTTGTAACAGATTATGTTCAACTTTTTTAAACACTAAGAGGAAAGATTAGCTTCCTCCAAAGACTAAAATGAACATTAGCACACAATACTAATCCTAAGAGAAGTAATTCCTTATTTTCTAAACCAAGGTTTCTAGCACTTTGGTATAAGGCTGGTAAACACACTAACAAATTCCAAGCCTGGCAAAGAGGGCAATACGTACCTAGGTTGTGGGAGATACTGCAGAGGTGGCCACTGGTCACGCTGGGCAGTTGAGCAGCTGTGAATGCCTGGCCAGCCAGAAGTTGTCTTTAATACTCTTCCCCTCTTTGTTTCAGTTTCCTTTTTAAAAAAGGCTCTTCACTTTTCTTTCTTGTTTATCCCACCCTTTTTAGAAATCACCCAGATTCTCAGAAACCTTGAGCCTCTTGACCAACCTCCTTGAGGAGACTGTCCAATCAGGGGCCAGTTGGCTGGTGGGGCGAGTTGAGAACAATGAAACTATCCTGAGAACTAAGCCATTAGCCAGTCATTGCATCAGCCACCCCTTAACCCAGAGTAACCACCATATAACCTCCCTGTCCTCTTCCACCAAGCCGTTGGCCAGTCATTGCATCAGCCACCTCTTATCCCAGGCTGGCCGCCATATAACCCCACCTCTTTCCGTCAGTGTAATTGTGTTTGTGTAGTTCCCCACCCTCAGTGTCCGTGTAATTGTCTTTATGTGTAGTTGTGGTCGGTGGAAAAGGCAAACCAAATTCCCGGCAGCTATTCGCTGAGGCGGGGCAGTACAGTGGACAGATTATGAATTCTGGGGTTAGACATCTGGTTGCACTTCCAGTTTGGGCATTTTCAGGCTTTGAAACCTTGGGGAAGTCACATTACTTGTTTGCTCTTTCCTCAGTTTGCTCATTTATGGAATGGGCATAAAGAAGTCTCCTAACATTATGGCTGAGGGGACAAAGTATGATCCTACGTACAAGGTAAAGCCTCTGGCACAAGCAAGCACTAAATAAAAGTAGTGGCCTCTCTCCTTGAGAAAGGGGAAGAAGTGGGGACGATGAAGGGCCAGTGCTGGTGGGAGTGCAGGCCGAGTCAGCTGCGCTCGTAGGAAAGGGGTAAGGTGGTCTGTGACAGTCCCCGCGCCCCTCGCAGTGGTAGAACGCGGTGGGCACGAGCGGGCTCTAAGGAGGATACCGGATACTGGCGTGCAGAAGGACCCAGAAAAGCCAGGTCACTGGGAGCTGCCCAGGCTTCCCTCCACCACTTCCCCTTTCATCTCCTCACTTCATCCTCCCTGACCTCCCACCCCTCACTTACCCGGCCCTACAGGGCCAGTCAGGGATGCCGGTCCAGCCACGGGTTACCTTCTGGTTGTCTGTGGAAACGCCGTCCGGCCAGAACAACTTCCGGCCCGGCTGCACCATCATTGGTTATCACGCGAGGGCAAGGCGGAGCCCTCTGCTGATTGGCTGGCGGCCCCAGCGCCGCGGCGGAACGCGACTGGGCGGTGGAGAGCCGGCCTGTTGGCCTCCGGTAGGATCAAGCGCTTCCGGTGTGTGTGGTGAGCCGCGGGTCCCAGGCGGGAGGGGACCGGGACGGGGCAGCGCCCGGAGCGCTTGGTACCTCTTAGCGCCTGATCTTTCGTGGCCGCTCGCCTTCCTTTCATTTCCTGTTCTTTCTGAAAGCTCAGTGCTTTGGACCATCCTTACCTCTTACCATTGACAGCTCGCTGACTCCTATTCATCCTTCAAAACCCATCTCTTGTTGCATCTTGTTTGTTGCCTTCATTCGTCTGTGGCTTCCGGGGACCTATGCTTTGTATTTAATCTCTGCCCACACCAGACCCAACATGGGGCTTGACACAGAGTAGGTAATCAGTATATGAGTTGGTAATCAGGATATGTTTGTTAAATAAGAATATTCTATAATATATATATATTTTTTTACTTCCTTTGCGGCCTCCCTCCCCACAAGTTTGCATTTCACAAATATATCTAGACTGTGGGGATTGAACAGTGAACAAAACAAACAAACAAACAAAAAATCCAGCCCTATGGAGTTGACATACTAATGATTGTCAAAGCCACTCACCCCTTAGCCTCTACTACTCCAATGCCCTTGCCTTTTCTTCCGCCTGGCTGTTGCTCTTCTTCTTATTTAATCACTCTCCTCTTTCTGTGAACAATTTTCTTTATTTTCTTTTATTTTAGAAACAGAGAAGACAATAGTGCTTCCTTAAATTATGTTGCTCCCACCAGTTCACAGCCTTCTCCAATTTTGTCTGTCTTCCTTGAATCTTCCTTTACTCCTCTCTCATTCCATTTAATTGGTCTGTTGGCTCAGCCTGCAGCATCTTCTATCACCTCTACTCCCTCACCTTATTCATGATGTTTCCCAGATGTCACCTTCTCTGAGACCTGCCTTTGAAACTGCAACCCTAAACCCACCTACCCCCACTCTCCTTTGTTTTACTTTTCTTCTTAGAATTTGTCACCACCTGACATCTATTTTATTTGAACATGGTCTGTCTCTTTCCATTGACATATGAGTAAGGTGAACATCGTTTGCTGTTTTGCTCTCACTGTATTCCTTGCGCCCAGTATGGGTGGGGCTTGGTGAGTAAATAATGCTCTATCAATGTTTGTTGAGTGAGTGAGTGAAATGTACCTGAAGCCAAAGCCCTGTGGTCCACTGTCTTGTATTCATTCAGTTCTTTCTGCCTTGCCTAGTCAGGGCCACTACTCTCTGATCTTCAGCTATAAACCTTTTCTGTGTGTTGACTGATGGGGATGACTGGGTGGGTGGGGATCCACCCTAATGGCTGAGCATAGACCTCTGGAAGGAATGGGGATGGGCACAGGAGTTGAGAATGGCCTCAGGACTAGGCTTAGTATTTACAGAATAGAAATGCCAATCATTTGTAGTGCATTGTTCCATTAGTTACTAATTAGTCCTTCATATTATACTAGTTCCATTTGAGATGAGCTGGCTGATTTTAGAAGTTTTTTTTTTTCCGCAGCTTTTAGCTGGGGCTGGGCTTGAACTCACCACCTCCAGCATATGGGGCTGGCACCCTACTCCTTGAGCCACAGGCACCGCCCAGAAGTTTTATTTAGAATATGGCTTTGTGTGTGGAAGTTGTTCCCTGCCTGGATTAGGCTGCAAGGGAGCATGGCGTTACTGGAAGCGGCTGACTATAAACATTATTGAGTTATGACCTGACCTGTATGGCAGTGGAGCCCTTTAGTTGAATGCTGCCATCGGAGGATATGTATGGGAGGGGTTGGGTAGTTAATTTCAAGGGACATGGAAACTCATGGTCTAGTGATAGATGATAAACAGGTTGTCTGGGGTAGCTTAATAGAGGACCTAGGGCTAGATCTGGTAGTTTATGCCTGTAATCCTAGCATTCTGGGAGGCCAAGGTGGATGGATTGCCTGAGGAGCCCGAGCAACAGTGAGACCCTCATCTCTACTAAAAATAGAAAAATTATCCAGGTGTTTTGGAAGGCACCTGTAATCCCAGCAACTCTGGCAGCTAAGGCGGGAGGATCGCTTCAGCCCGGGAATTTGAGGTTGCTGTAAACCAGGCAGACACCACGGTACTCTAGCTTGGGGCAACAGAGTGTGATTCTGTCTCCAGAAACAAACAAACAAAAAGGATCTGGAGAGAATCTTTGGAAGCTGACCTGACCCCAAATATGGGAGGAGGACCTCAGTGAGGTTTACTGATGTAAGGTACTTGGGTTTTCTTGGAAGTTGGTCTGTTGTCTGAGCTTTCTGTGCTGTTCTAGCACGCCCTCTGCTGTCTCGAACGTGCCTGGCAGCCTTGTTTTCCTCTTGATTGTACTTGGTGCTAACAACACAGGATTAGCCTGTGGCTCAGTGAGTAGGATACCAACCCTGTAGGCCGAGGGTGGCGGGTTCAAACCCGGCCCCGGCCAAACTACAACAAAATAATAGTCGGAGCATGTGGCGGGCACCTGTAGTCCCAGCTACTTGGGAGCCTGAGGCAGGAGTTGGGGGTCTCTGTGAGCCCTCTACCAAGGACAATAAAGCGAGACTCTGTCTCTTAAAAAAAAAAAAAAAAAAGAGTTAAAGTATTGAATTTGTGTACTGAAGTACTTTTTCCTGGATATTAAGTTGATAATAATTTGTTGTTCATAATGGTTCAGAATTTCAGGAAGAAGTTTTTGAAAAGTAGAAATCCCTGTTGAGTGAGTCTGTGTGTTTGGGTGAAATGGCCAGATTTGCATCACAGCCTCAGAATTGCTTCCAGTGCCCTTGAGTGTATTGACATCTCAGGACCTCAGCCTTGTTTTGTGAGTCTGTCTCTTCTAACTGGCTTATATGGAGATGGGGTATCAGAGAGAAGATTGTTCTTGTCAGAGAGAAAAGAGGGAAGGGCCAGAGCACAAGGGGGAGAATGGAGGGATAGGTGGTATGTTTTCCCACCTGTTGGATCCTAAATATATTTTCATTTCATTGTTGTCAGACCTAACCTCATTCGTGTCGACAAATGTATGTCCTTCTGATTTCTTGTTAATAAGCAATGCTATAGGCCTTTATACAGTTATATTTACATATTTATATGTCTAGCAAACTAATGCTAATATTTGTGTAAAATAGAATTCTACATTGGGGTTCTTGGGGCAAAAATTATGCATTTAAGCTTGTAATAAATACTGCCAAAATTGGTCTTCCAAAGCATTTTTATTATTTTATTTTAAATTTTATTATTATTATTTTTTGAGACAGAGTCTCACTATGTCACACCTGGTAGAGTGCTCAGGCCTCAGCTCACAGCAGCCTTAAACTCTTGGGCTTAAGTGATTCTCTTGCCTCAGCCTCCCAAGTAGCTGGGACTACAGGTGCCTGACACAGTGCCTGGCTAATTTTTTGTTGCAGTTGTCATTGCTGTTTAACTGGGCCAGGCTGGGTTCAAACCTGCCAGCCTGGGTGTATGTGGTTGGCACCCTAACCACTATGTTACAGGTGCCAAGCCCAAAGCATCTTTTTTTTTTTTTTTTTTTTTTGCAGATTTTGTCCTGGGCTGGGTTTGAACCCGCCACCTCCGGCATATGGGGCCAGCACCCTACTCCCCTTGAGCCACAGGCACCACCCAGCTCTAAGCATTTTTAAAATCTTGGCGTTTTTTGTGATCAGAAATTGTCTAAGTCTTCTTTTATGCCTTAAAGGAAAGTTTTAGTTTTTTTTGTATACATCTTGCTTTTTCCCCCTAAAATGGAGTTTCATTTTGTTGCCCTTGGTAGGATGCCATGGTATGATAGCTCACAGCAACATTACACTGTTGGACTTGAGAAATCCTCTTGCTTCAGCCTCCTGAGTAGCTAGGACTACAAGTGCCCACCATAATCTTGGCTATTTTTAATTTTAATTTTTATTTATTTTTATTTTTTTGAGACAGAGCCTCAAGCTGTCCCCCTGGGTAGAGTGCTGTGGCATCATAGCTCACAGCAACCTCCAACTCCTGGGCTCAAGTGAGTCTCCTGCCTCAACCTCCCAAGTAGCTGGGACCACAGGTGCCCGCCACAACGCCCGGTTATTTTTTGGTTGCAGCCATTGTTGTTTGGTGGGCCCGGGCTGGATTCGAACCCGCCACCTTAGGTGTATGTGGCTGGTGCCTTAGCCACTTTGAGCCACAGGTGCTGAGCCTTAGCTATTTTTTAGACACAAGGTCTCCCTCTTGCTCAGGCTGGTCTTAAATTCCTGAGCTCAGGCAGTACACTGCCTAGGCCTCCCAGAGTGCTGGGATTATACTGCACCTGGCGACAGCGGCTTCTTCTTCTCCTCTTTCTCTTCTTCTCTTCCTTTTCCTCTTCCTTCTCTTTCTCTTCCTCCTCTCTCCTTTCCTCCTCCTTTTTTCTTCTTCCTCCTCCTCTTCTTCATCTTCACCTTCCTCCTCTTCCTCTTTTTCCTTCTCTTCTTTTTCCCTCCCAGTGTTGGTAGAGTTCCATGGCCTCATTCTAGCTCACAGCAACCTCAAACTCCTGGGCTTGGGCAATTCTCCTGCCTTGGCCTCCTGAATAGCTAGGACTATATGTAGATGTGCACTACCACACCTGACTAATTTTTCTGTTTTTAGTAGAGATAGGGTTTTCCTCTTGCTCAGGCTAGTCTTGAACTTCTGATTTCAAGCAGTCCTCCGGCTTGGCCATCCAGAGTGCTAGATGTGAGCCACCATGCTCAGCCTACATAAATATTCTTCTGTTTACATTTTCTGACTCTTGACTTTGTTTGGTCTTAGGTAGTTTGCTCTCAAAAGGACAGCAAGAAACCGTGTCTTTAATGGCTTCATTGGTGGCTTATGATGATTCGGACTCAGAGGTTGAGACTGATCCTGCAGGAAGTTTTAATGATACTGGCCAAATGAAAGACACTTCTGATGTGACCAAACCTGTGCAGGACTTTTCATCTGGTGTACGGGATATGACAAAAGAAGAGGCACAACCCCTACAGCCTAGCTCTTGTAAAGACCCAGGAGGCAATCGTCTCCCACTGGCTCGGCTTGGGAGAAGTGATCGGGGATCTTGCCCCAGCCAGAGGCTGCAGTGGCCCAGGAAGGAGCCTGAAGTCACCTCCACCAGTGGGCCTTCTTGTCCTTCTCTGTGGACCAGCCATGCTCCAAGCAGCCACATGCCCCTGGCAGCTGCCCACTTTAAGCGAAGAAAATTCCCCTGTGGCTCTTCCAGATCATCTTACTATGCTCAAGGTGAATCTGAAACCACAGGTAAAAACGTTAACTCTTTTCAGAAGAAAAGGTGTGAAGACTGTATCATACCATATATCCCGAAAAGACTAAGACAGCTGCAAGAAGCAAGCACAGAACCAGGCAAGAGTAAAGATGTGGAGCCACAGGATCCCTCTGCAGGGCATGCCCCAGCCCCTCTCTGTGTGGCCCCTGAAGTATCTGAGTTTATTCAGCCATATTTGGGCAGTCAGTATAAAGAAACCAAGGTTCCCAGGAAAGTGCTTTTCCACCTGAGAGGCCACAGGGGCCCTGTAAACAGCATTCAGTGGTGTCCAGTTCTTTCTAAGAGCCACATGCTTCTTTCAACTTCTATGGATAAAACCTTCAAGGTAAGACTTGAGTGGAAACTTCTATTTTCAGATATTCTTAGGAATAAGTGCAGGAATATTTTATTTTATTTTATTTTTTTGAGATAGGAGCCTCAAACTGTCCCCCTGGGTAGAGTGCTGTGGCATCACAGCTCACAGCAACCTCCAACTCCTGGGCTCAAGCGAGTCTCCTGCCTCCGCCTCCCGAGTAGCCAGGACCACAGGTGCCCGGCTATTTTTTGGTTGCAGCCGTCATTGTTGTTTGGCCGGCCCGGGCTGGATTCAAACCCGCCACCTTGGGTGTACATGGCTGACGCCTTAGCCACTTGAACCACAGGAGCCAAGCTGCAGGAATGTTTTATTTGTCAAAACAGAGTAAGGTAGAGCTGAGCATTTTTTTGGAAATTTCTGTAATTCTCTTTGTTGCATTCAAGAGAGGGTTGTCTGTGGTCAATCCTGCCCCTTCCCTTTCCTGAGCTTGCCTTGCCCAGGTAACCAGAGGATCCTGGGAGGATGAGTGAGTGAGAGTGATCAGAGGGAGAACAGCCCTGGGAACTGGGGTCATCCTCTGTGATCCCATAGAGCAGTGGTTCTCAATCTCCCTAATGCCGTGGTCCTTTAATACAGTTCCTGTGGGTCATTGAACAGGACAGCTCTAGGTCACATGTTGAGCTGGATGCAGGGGATGCAGAGGTAGATGGAGGGCTTGCACAATGTGAATAGGAGCTATGGACAGTGGCTGTGGGGACAGGATCCCCAGCAGGACACACATGTGCAGTGTGTATCCCAGTGAGAAGGGCACTAGTCCTGGTTGGGCTAGTGAAGGGGACACTTTGCTTTGGATGAGTGTCTTGCTGGAGGGGCCTGTGTATGTGTTGGTTCCCAGTGTGAGAGCTTGAGAGCTGTCTCTGAGCATGAGGGAGTAAGGACCCAAGGGTAGGGAAGCAAGGAGGGGCCATCAGATGAGGGAAGGCTGTCTATGCCATGCTGGAGATGTCTGGTTTTACACTGAGACCTGTTTTTCATTGTGTTATTTATTTTTACAAGCTACAGCAGTAATAGCAATATGGTTCCCATGGTATGCTGGGGCATGCATGTTGCACCCCCCTAGGACCTGTCTCCAGCCCCTCTAGGCTGTGTATTATGTCCCTCCTCAATCTCCCTTTGGCATCTAGCAAAACACCGGATACTGTATATGCAGTGGGTGCCAAGTAAATGCTAGCTGAACAAAAACCTCTTGGAAGAAAATGGCTTTAGGGGTCTTGGCTTTAGATCCAGCTTTGCTGCAGAATAGCTGGTCAGCCAGCCTGAGCTATCCCCCCTCAGTTGGTGTCTATTCTGAGCATTGAAAGGGCATTGTACCGGTGTCATGGGATCATATGAGAAAATCATTTAAACAACACCTTGCATAGAGCCAGGTACCCCACAAGTGCTCAGTAAATGTTGGTTTCTTCTCCCCTCATTTCCTGAGAGTTCTGGAACCAACTTACCCAGATCATTTTATTTGCAAGTTACATTTTGAGCTTTTTGTCCTAGTAGGCATTTTCTGAAGTGACGAAAGGAAGCTCCAAGTATAGTGAAGTCTTTGGAAGGAGCTGAATCAATGGGTGTCATTTTCAAGTGGCCAATTGAAGTCGAAGGAGCTTGTCAGTGTTCTCTTCTGGCAAGGCTAATGGAATCATGTGGGGAGAGAATGTCATATTCCGTCTTCAGCCTGGGGTCCCAGGATTTTTTCACTCAGGTCTTTGGTGCTTCTCCTGAGACACTGAGGGCTGTGGAGTCTGCATGGAGGCCTCTGACATCTGTGCTGTGGATCAGAACATGCTTAGATTGACCACGCTGTGCTGGGGCTCCCCAGCTCTTTTTCCTGAGAGCCTGTCCTGCACAGGGCAGGAAAGGTGGGAGTGTTTCTCCTGGGCCTAGATGAGACCGGGTCTGCTCTCAGCAGTGTCTGGCTGGCTCTGGGGTCCTGTGTCTTCCTTGAACTCATCTTCTTGTTGAGACTTTCTTCCTATTGTGCTTTGGTGCTTGCTCTTCCCTCTCTCCAGGGCAGGGGTCTTCAAACTTTTTAAACAGGGGGCCAGTTCACTGTCCCTCAGACTGCGGGCCCTGGGACGAGTTGGCTGCTAAGCAGGACAGGCAGTGGCAGCAAAAACACCTGGTAGGCTGGATAAAGGCCAGATAAATGTCCTAGGCAGGCCGCATTTGGCCCGTGGGCCGTAGTTTGAGGATGCCTGCTTTAGGGTTTCTTCCCTTTACTTTCCTGCCTGTTGAATTCTTGCTGAATGGTCAAAGCCCATCTTGGAAAGTCTCCCCCATTGGGACTGTCCATCAAGCAAGTATTCGGTTCCAGTTTTGTGAAAGTCCCATTTTGGATGCTAGAGAAGTGTTGATCAAGACAAAGCCCTCAGGCTCGGCACCTGTAGCTCAGTGGTTAGGGTGCTGGCCACATGCACCAAGGCTGGCGGGTTTGAATCTGGCCTGGGCCTGCTAAACAACAATGACAACTGCAACAAAAAATAGCCAGGCATTGTGGTGGATGCCTACAGTCCCACCTACTTGGGAGGTTGAGGCAAGAGAATTGCTTAAGCCCAAGAGTTTGAGATTGCTGTGAGCTGTGATGTCACTGCACTCTACAGAGGGCAACATAGTGAGACTCTGTCTAAAAAAAAAAAAAAAAGATAAAGTCCTCACTCTAGCAGAGCTGACATGTTGGGTCTGGTCTCTCATTTCTTTATGTCCCTCAATGGAATGGCCACTGTTTGAACTTGCTGCTCCTCTCTGCTGTACGTGGTCCCTTGCTGCTCCTCTCTGCTGTACGTGGTCCCTTGATGCTCCTCTCTGCTGTATGTGGTCCCCTGATGCTCCTCTCTGCTGTATGTGGGCTGGGGCCTTCCTCCCTTGTCTCATTGCATAGGTGATTGCAGCCTCACCTTCAGAGGCAGTGTGGACAGGGTGGAGTCAGAGTGAACTGGGATATTCAAAGCATCTAGTCTAATCGCTGACACATGGCAGAGGTTTTGTGGAAGATAGCTGTGGTTATGGGGTGGGCCACCTGAAGGGCACAGGGAGTCACCGCTTTAGGACCCTGTGGGATGTGGAGTTAGGACAGTCTGGCAGATGTTGGCAGCACAGGCTGGAGAAGGTTGCCATGGCAGAGATAGGTGGAGTGCTTTCCGTTCAGGGTGCTGCAGCTAGGACACCCACCTGGCTGCCCACCTACTGAGTCCTGTCTCCTGATGGTGTGGGGGCATGTCTGGACTGGTAGGGCCTGGTTTTCAACTGGCATCATAGTGAAGGGTCTCTAGGCCCCGCTAGCAGAGTGGAACAAATTGGGCAACTTGAGTCACTTTTGCCTGGGAAATTTAGATTTCCTAAATAGAAGTATGCCTATAATAGTTTTTGATCAGATAGTTTTGAGTGGAAATATTGATTTCTGGCCTTGTGGAGCAGATGAATGTGCCAGGCATGGTGTCCTGGGGATGCAGGGAGAGATGTTTTGGCTTCCACTGAGGGGGAAACCAAGATGCCTTATGACCAGAAGAGGGCGCTGTTGGTCCAGCTTGGGATGGCAGTTCAGGCAGCTAAGCCTGACAAGCCCGGATCCTGGGCATTCATTGAGTTCTGAGTCTAGGTCTGTGCGTCCTGCCCTGGGTGGGCCTGGGCAATGCTGCTGTGTCCACCTGTCTCGAGGCGGTGGTGTGTGCTGTAGGTGATGATGCTGGCCCAGGCCCCTTGGGCTATCGGGTATTGTTAGGGGGTCAGACCATAGCTGCCAGGGCCAGCGTCTCCAGACTCTCTTCTTACCGTGGTGTCTTGAAAATCAGGGCTTTTATAAGCCACAGATGCAAACCAAGGGCAGGGTCCTCTGAGATGTTTGACAGTTTCCAGTGATAGAATTATTCACCAAGTTAGTATTGGGCAAATTGACTTTGAGCAGCTTTTCAGTATGAAGAATGTGTGTTGGAGGCAGGGGGAGCTGGGATGGGAAGACAGATCAGGGACTGAATGGGGGCCTGGTGGGGAGCTGGGGCTGGGAGTCGAGGCTGAGGCTGTGGGCATGCTGGGAGTGGCCTGGGCAGCACACAGTGTTCTTTTCCCTCCCTGATGTCAGAGGTGGCAGTGTGGTAGATTTTGGGGACTTTGTGGTCTGGGAGAGGGCAGGAGTCCAGTCAGCTGCAGCTCAGTTCCTGTTGGAGAGCAGATAGTGGGTACAGCAGGCATGAGGTAGAAGAGGTGGGTGCAAAGTGCATCCCTGCCTTTGTGCTTCCTTAAAAGAGTGCCTTTCCTTTTGTCTATTGGTTAATATCTGTTGAAGTGCCTTCTGGTCCCAACTTGACCAGGAAGGAGGAGAAGACCTGTTTGAATCCTGGTGGCTGTGTGATCTCTGGCAGGTTCCTACACTTCTCTGAGCCTTGATTTGTATATCTGTAAAGTGGAGATAGTTTTATACTTGCCTTGCTGGGTTTTCATGAAAAGTAAATGATACTGGATGTGAATTACTTAGCACAGTGCCTGGCACATAGTTGGCACTTAGTGTGTGCTTGAGTTTTTGCTGTCTCCAAGAATTTTCTCCCTTCCTTGAGTTATAGTGGTGTTTACCTGAGTAGCCATGGCACCAGGCACCATGTCTACTTCACCTTGCTAGATTTTTAGCTTCTTGAGCATAGGAACCATGAAAAGCCAATTTTTATATTCTCTGATACCTCTGGTACAAAATTTTGTGTGTGTTAAGTAATCAATAAAAATGCAAACAATTTTTTTTGGATTTTATCGTAAGCCTTTGAAGAAAAGATTGTCTTTTGAGTGCATAAATCCCATTTGCCACTAGGGGGCACAGTAGCACTTAATATAAGCAGCTCATCTCGGCTTCTAGAATGTGGAAGAATCCTTGATTCAAGGTAACATTTACTGAAAAATGATTTCTTTTTTGATCAGGAGAAAAACAACACAATCCAACTGATTAATCTAAAGAACGTGGAGTGCCAGTTCCTTCATCTCCTTAAAATGTAGCTTTGGAA